TTGTACATAGGGTTGCTATGAGTCGCAAACGACTCGATGACACGTAACAACAACAACAAATTAAGATGATAACCTCCAGAGAGATACATTAATAATCCAGCATTTTATTGTAAGGGATTAATTGAATATTTTCAGCTATCAAGAAGAGAAACAGCTATTCCTTTAAGTATGTTATAGAGAAGGAAAGATTTGACTATTAAAAGAGCAGTAATTTTGAAGATTGTTGAAAGCACAGATGGCCTTAGCCCAGTAATTTCATAGGACTAGAATTCTCGTAGTAAAACATGGAACAATTATTAGAAGGCTGTACACACCCTAACACCAAAGTATTGAAATCCCTCATTAATGCTCTTGGCAGCAAACTAAAAAGCTAACGGTTTGAGCCCACCCAGAGATGACTCAGAAGAAAGGCCTGACTACCTAGTTTAGAAAACTCAGCCACTGACCTCAATCTTATTGAGCACAGTTTTACTCTAATACATTTAAGGTTACTGTGAGTTGGAATCAATGTAACTAAAGTAGGTACCAGTGTATCATATCATGGAACCAATTGTTTCATTAGCTTTTAAAGATCTAAAAGGGTCATAGAACATAAATAATACATCTCATAATAGGTTAGTCTCATAGATTGTTGTTGTATACTATGACTCAGAATCAACTTCTAGCTGTCCCTCTGGCAGGTTTTCAGAGGCAGTAAATTGCATAAGAGGAAATTGCTTACCTTTCTCTTAAGTGGAGCAGCTAGAGGATTTCAACTATTTACCTTTGGGTTAGCAGAGCATCTTCTTATCACTAAGCCATCAGAGCTTGCTCCATCTTTTATTCTGACTGATAATATTTCATCTTTTTGAAGTCAAACTCATAAAGTTTCCCTAAAACAATCTATTTTTAAAAAAGTTTAGTGCTCATAATGGATCTAGATTCATAAGATAATTTATGGATTTTGTGCTACATATTTCACACTTTTAAAACATATATTCAGTTTCTCTTTTAAAGTTAGATTTATCAACATTTGATTGCCCTATCATTCCATTATTCTAGGAGGCTCATCTATTATTTAGTATATCTATAATATTTATGATAAGAAGGCTATATTAATATCCTTAATGTTCCTTATTTGTCTATGGAGAATAGCTCTTGCTATTAATCTGTCACTATAATGGAAGTTGTTTCATTATTTTAAGGTTTTAGGGGGCACTTTTTTCTTATTCATGGCCTCTACATTCTGCATTCTGCTTCTACTAAGCATTCAACAGATGTGATTCTCTGTTTCCATGTTGAGCAGAACAATTAGTGAAAGAAGGCTGTTCTCGGAACTCTGTGTCAGTTATTTTAATGTAAAACCACTACATCATCATTTATAATCATAAATGAAATTAAGCAGAGCTCTTGTGGCATAAACTTCATAGAAGATGTAATTTTATCTCATTTTTTATTAAATTTGTCAGGTTCTTTTGAAAATGAATGGGGGCTGTGTTGATGAAATGTTCTTAAATTAATTAGCTTTGTGGTCACAAAATTTTAGGTGTCCTAAAAAACCGTTGAATTATGTACTTTCAATAAGTGAGTTGTGTAGGACATGAGTTATATCTCAATAAAGCTGTGAGAAAAAAGAATAAAAGCTTCTAATAAACAAAATTAGACTACTTAAATTTTAAAAATAATTTTATTTAAAATGCCTTTTAATGATATAATTCATACTGTTGTTGTTGTGTGCCGTTGAGTTGGAACTGACCCATAGTTGACTCTCCAGTAGGTTTTCAGAGGCAGTTAATTGTACGAGAAGAGTTTGGTCAGATAACACAAGTAACAGATAAATATAATAGTTCGATAAATAAATGCAAGTAATAATTTAACTGTTGATTATATTTTTTAATTACAGGAAGGACCCATGGTGCCAAATACACCACCCCAAGAAGCCAGTAATAGGCTACAGATATTTCAGGTAAAAACCACATTTTTTTTGTTGCTTTACGAATGGTTGGGCAGGGAGCAAAGTCCAACAATGAATGGAAACCCAAAGGCTCTGTAAACTTTCACTAAAATTAATAAAATATATATAATTAAAAAAAGAATGTATTGTTATTTAAAATAGTATTTTAGTTAGCAACCAAGTGCTTTACCCACTGTGCTCCTAAGGTTCCTTAACAATTTTGTATGTTTTCACTTTTTTGATAGGAATGTTACTATTTGAAGTGCATAATTTAAGTGTAACTATTTAAAGTGCCAATTTAATTTTATGCATTTTAATTGAATCCTTCTGTGAGTCTTTCCATATATTCTCCATAGAATATTTCCCAGAAAGTACATTGATTTTGAAAAGAAGTATAAACTGTCTAGTTACAATCACCTCTCTTGGTATGTAGGGTAATTAAAAGTTTATAACATATAGTAAAATTATAGAAGTGTGGTTTTAAGTATTGACAAAAGGTTTCTGTTTATCCATTGTATTTTCCCCCCTTTGTATTCATCATTTGAAACTCCTCTTCCTCTATGTCCTGCCCCAAACTCTACAATATTCATTGGATCAGGGCACCTATTGACTATAATTTTCTATGTGAAGAAATACTATATATTCGTTTGAATTACTGTTTTGCAAATTCATGCATTATTTTGGAAACTAACCTCACAGAAACACGAGGAATCCTTTTATGCTGTTATTTTTATTGTTTACTATAGTGACTGTCCAGTTTGTTCATGAAAAAAAAATGCATTTTTATCAGATGTCTACCGTGTGAGTTGGCCGAAAGA